TCCTTGAAGCCCCAGGTAGGCAGGAGGCCAGCTTCATTCTACAGCTTTGAGTGGGCAGTCAGTTCTTTCCAGCAAGATACACAACCTTAGGCTGACATTACTGGCTGTGTTACCCATCTTACAGGGAATTTGGTTGAGTCCCAGTTCTTAGGTATCCAGGAGATGCTAAGAGGAGCCAAATTTTGTTCTGTCACTGGAATTTCTTATGAATGTGTACTTTCTGTGATTTGCATCCTGAGTGTTTCCACTAGAAACCTGCTGAAAGGCAGCCTAAGAGAGCTGAGATAACTTAAGGATTTCAAGTAGGAAAAAAATAACTAAGCCATAGAAAAGAATGGTTTGAATTCTCTTGCCTTTTTTTCTCAGGCTGATGAAGTTCTACCTGTACTCTGGATTTAAAGACAGGGATTCAATCCAGGAACAGGACATACCAGAAAGCTTCATTATTCAGTATTTCATTCAGTATTGTTTGAGTGACTGTACTATACTTGGGGCCCGTTTTTGCCCCGGATTAGATTACTCTCCCCAGGTTTATTTTCTAGCATTCCCTTCCATATCCTTTTATGCACCTGCCAGATGAGCTACAAAATGTTTCTTAAAAAAAAAAAAAAAAAAGACCTTGTTGGGTCTTTACTCATGCCATTGTTTTTATCTAGATTCTAGAAGGTATTTCCCCTCCCCCTCTGAACTTCACCGGTTGAAAACCTACCAGTCTTTTAAAGTTGTCTCTGCCATAAAGCTTTCCCTGCTTACCGTAATTGGAAGTGACCTTGCCTTCAATTCACATAGCACTTGATTTATACTGTTCTCATGATAGTTACTTTCTTGTATTTGTATCCATTTCTCTCTCCTTTCAGACCAACTCTGTACTCTGAATCTTCTGTGTTTAGCCTTGTACTTATAGGCACCCAATAAATACTTGAATGAGTTAATTTTCCCAGCCTTTTAATTTTCCAAGGGCTTTTTAATTTTCGCCTTCAAGCAAGCTCACAAGTCCTTCTTAGATTGAGTAACCAAACCTGCACTCAGATTCTCTTTTTCAGTGAAGCCAGGATTTTTCTCTTTTAACTGTAGTGGTGTGATGGAGTAGAGTAGAGCCAGTAAGGGATTATTTCTGCTGCTGTAAAAGCACAATTTTTTCATTCAAGGTTCTTTCTTAATTTCCCTTGTTAGTTTCTAATCAGCCTTGGTTGTGCCAAGAGGGTTACTTTCTAGGGAGTTCAGGGATGATGTCAGGGGAGAAAAATCTGGTCTTTGCCCTCATCTACTTTTTTTTTGTTTCTCTTTGTCTCACCTCACTTTTTTGTATTTCCTTTTTTCCTGTCCCCTCTTCTACTTTTCATATTCTCTTCTACTCTTAACCTCTTCTTTCCTTGAACTCTTTATTTCTTAATATTTGCCCTTTATTTCTTTAGTATAAAAATGTTGTCAGCTTTTAGGAAAGTTTTGGAGTATTATCCCCTTACCTTAGCAAAATAAAATTTAAAAAAGCAGAGCATTATTTAGGAGTAACAGGTTAGATGCAGCGAAAAACTAAGGGTCCATCCATCATAGTTTATGGCTCTGGATCATGGATGCTCCTAACTCTGACTGGCCTCATAATCAGTGGGATTGCCTATCATTGCTCCCTCTTTGGTTCTCTGGGTTATGTGTTGATACTTCTGCTGGAATTTAAAAAGACTTTCAGTTTTGTCTCCTTTGTTGCCCCAGCTCTCTCATCTGTATGCATGAAAAATCCATCTGACTTCTTCACACTGACTCCTTCTGTGGGTTCAGAAAGAATTAAGTCTGAAAGACATACTGGTTTTTGTCCCTTGATCCTTTCTTTCTAGTGTTCAGAACAACAAATACATCAAGATCTGAAACCAATGCCCCTGAAGTCTTTTTTTTTTCCCTAATATGTGACCAGAATATTTTCTGAGCAGAATGCCTTGCATCCCCTATTGTTTGACAAGTACCTTTCCTGACCACTTGAAGGTTAGCCTCTTTCTCATACTGACTTTTCTCCTGAGGTTCTGATTACTCTCCTTCTTATGTTCACATTGTTGCCTTAAACTCAAAAGGGAAAAGCACATGAGATCTACCTGTACTCCCAGCTATACTCACAAATGTTGTCTGGAATCCAGTATTCACATATTCTCCCTTGCTTATAAAAACCAACATGTTTGTGCCCCCTCATCTCTTTTAGTGGAATTATTATCTACCAAGTAGTCTGATTTGCAAGCCAAGATGTCATTTTCCTGTTACCTTCCGTTTGTCCCCACATTTTATCATTTGTCTAGATTTTTTTTTCATCAGCTCTTTTCCATTTCCACTACATGGATGCCGGTTCTTATCTCCTACACGAGCAATTATGAAAGCCTAATCTTATGGTCTTCAGAAGGCTCTCACTGCCTACAAAATTTACCAAGATTTTTTTTAAAAAATTACTAATATGAGGAGTTCATCATCTGCTAAAAGTATCTCCATTTTGGTATAATGAATGTTCCTTTTCCTCACTGAGCCAAATAGGAAATTGGCAAGACAGGACATCTGGGACCTTGTTAATTATACACATATGGAGTTGGTGTCAGAAATGGCTTCTCTATAAAATAAACTTTAAAGACTGTAAGGTTGAGCTCCCTTTCTAAGTACAGTGTTAAATATTTTTATTTTTGTTTGGGGCAGGATTTGTAACTGTGGTCATTTTAGCTATCATCAAGCAAGACTAAAACCAACCAGGCAGGTGCTGGTCTGAAAAGCAGAAATAATTCTTTGAAATTATAGTCACTGTTGTTAGATAGATCTGGCTGCATTGTCAACAAGATCCCATTGCTATTGCTTATATTTTCCTCTTATCCTTCAACTCAGACTTTGGATGGAAATTCTGAGACTCTGGGTGTAGGTACTTGATAGGAATTGTTAGAAAAATCTGTTGTTGCAGCAAGACAGGAAGATGCTACTGTTCTGGGGTGCCTGATGGGTTCAGTTGGTGGAGCATGTGACTCTTGATCTTGGGGTCATGAGTTCTAGCCCCACAATGGTTATAGAGCTTACCTTAAAAAATACAAATAAAATTTGTCATAGTACTTTAAATAAAGGCAGCCACTGTTCTTATTTGTATCTAGAGCTTTTGGTTCTTCAGAGCCTTGGCTTTGAACTTCCTGATTCTCTGGCCACCTTCTGATGTTGGACTTGCTTATTGGGTTCAGCCATGTGTATTTTTAATTTTATTTATTTATTCATGAGAGACAGAGGAAGAGAGGCAGAGACACAGGCAGAGAGAGAAGTGGGCTCCATCTAGGGAGCCTGGTGTGGAACTCGATTCTGGGACTCCAGGATTATGCCCTGGGCCAAAGGCAGACACTCCACCGCTGAGCCAAACAGGCGTCCCTAGCCATGTATTTTTAAAGTCTAAAAACAGCAAGCCAATTCTTTTTTTTTTTTTTCTTCAAACTTACTATATTTATAAACTAGAGACTTGTGTTTTTCACAAAATCTGGAAAACTCTCAATTACGGTCATTTTCAATATTGATTCATTCTCCATTCTTTCTTTCTTTTTTTTTTTATTTTATAAATTAATTTTTATTGGTGTTCAATTTACCAACATACAGAGTAACACCCAGTGCTCATCCCGTCAAGTGTCCCCCTCCGTGCCCGTCACCCATTCACCCCCACCCCCCGCCCTCCTCCCCTTCCACCACCCCTAGTTCATTTCCCAGAGTTAGAAGTCTTTATGTTCTGTGTCCCTTTCTGATATCTCCCACACATTTCTTCTCCCTTCCCTTATATTCCCCTTCCCTATTATTCATATTCCCCAAATGAATGAGAACATACACTGTTTGTCCTTCTCCGATTGACTTACTTCACTCACCATAATACCCTCCAGTTCCATCCACGTTGAAGCAAATGGTGGGTATTTGTCGTTTCTAATGGCTGAGTAATATTCCATTGTATACATAAACCACATCTTCTTTATCCATTCATCTTTCGATGGACACCGAGGCTCCTTCCACAGTTTGGCTATTGTGGACATGGCTGCTAGAAACATTGGGGTGCAGGTGTCCCGGCGTTTCATTGCATCTGAATCTTTGGGGTAAATCCCTAACAGTGCAATTGCTGGGTCGTAGGGCAGGTCTATTTTTAATTCTTTGAGGAACCTCCACACAGTTTTCCAGAGTGGCTGCACCAGTTCACATTCCCACCAACAGTGTAAGAGGGTTCCCTTTTCTCCGCATCCTCTCCAACATTTGTTGTTTCCTGCCTTGTTAATGTTCCCCATTCTCACTGGTGTGAGGTGGTATCTCATTGTGGTTTTGATTTGTATTTCCCTGATGGCATTTGATGCAGAGCATTTTCTCATGTGCATGTTGGCCATGTCTATGTCTTCCTCTGTGAGATTTCTCTTCGTGTCTTTCAGCAAGCCAATTCTAAATGAAAATTTCTCTTCTGCCCATTTTGATAATAATAGAGGATTAGAATCTATGACATTTATTTTTTTTTAAATTTTTAAAATTTATTTATGATAGAGAGAGAGAGAGAGGGAGGCAGAGACATAGGCAGAGGGAGAAGCAGGCTCCATGCACCGGGAGCCCGATGTGGGATTCGATCCCGGGTCTCCAGGATCACGCCCTGGGCCAAAGGCAGGCGCCAAACCGCTGCGCCACCCAGGGATCCCAGAATCTATGACAATTAAAAGCAGATTGTTCATTAGAGTTATGAGAGCTAGAGAATAAAAATTCCAGGAAATTCTGCATTGGGAAAATACAGTTTAGAACTCCTCTAGGAATCAACACTAAAATGAAAGCAAGTTTCTTGTCTTATTAAATAAGGAAAGAAACTTGTGGGTATTAACTGAAACAGGTTTCCATATGGATTTGAGGTCACTTGGCTCACATTCAGCTCAGCTTGCTCTTGTTCTCAAGGTCCAGGCTTGTGGCTACTTGAGTTAGAAGCAGAAAAAAATTCTAAAAAACTAAGTAAAGCTAGGATGTCTTGATTGACTGTGCTTATTCCACAGCTTTTGAAGATCCTGATAGTGCCGTTGATGACCGGGATAGTGACTATCGCAGTGAGACCAGCAATAGCATCCCACCTCCTTATCATACAACTTCCCAGCCCAACGCTTCTCTGCACCAGTTTCCCGTGCCCATGCGATTGCCACAGCAGCTGCTACTTCAGGGCAATTCCCGGGATTCTTGCAATGACTCCATGCAAAGTTACGATCTTGATTATCCAGAGCGGCGGGCCCTTAGGTGGGTATTGAAAACAAAGCACTTTCTCTTATTAGAATGTAGTTTCCAAGATGCAACTAAGAATATAGATGCTTTAATCTGAGGTGGTAGTGGAAGTATAGCAGTATAATAGTCCAAGCTACAGCCATTTTGTCTAGAATCTCAGTTTTTTTTTTCTCTGCTATACATTCACATTTAGATATTTCTGTCATTAATATTTCTCTTTGTGATCAGTGATTCTCAGTGGGTGAGAGCATGCTCACTTAGGATAGATAACTGGAAAAAAAAAAAACAAAAAACAGCACACGCCTCTGCCCAGCCCAGCAATTCTGAAACACTCTTTACCAAGATTTAAAAAAAGAAAATCACAGGTGTTAAATGTTTGGATAACCTTTCCTACCTAAATATTTCCCTGGGAACTTCAGATGATATCTTCAAAGCAGATTCAATACTTTTGCTGGAACTTTAGAAAATTTTTAAATATAGAAAACATTAACATGGTTTAAAAAATGTTAAGGTGCAATATAACATATAGTGAAGAATCTCCCACCTGTACATGTCCTCCTTGGTCTCTTTCCTATCTCCTAGTTCTCACACCACCATTGTTTGTTTCCTATGTACCCTTCTATAGACTACTGTCATATGTTTATGAGTATAGAAACAAATATATACTCATCCGACTTTCCCCGTTTAAAAAATAATTCAAAATTTGGAAAAATATTATAATCAACATCCATATTCATGTTGCCTTGATTCAGCTGGGTTAATATTCTATCACATTGATTATTTATTTTTATTGTATCATTATTCAGTTTCCCCAACATTTTCCCCATTGATTTTAGCATCCATTGATGATCCTAGCTTGAATCAAGTATTGGTTGGAGGTTAATATTTTAAAAACCATTCCAGTTTAGCTCATACTTTTTGTCTAAAATTCCTCTCAGTTTACTATTATCTCTGAGAATATTTTCAGTGAATTTTTTTCCTATATCAACCATCACAGAGTTTTTACTGTTTATGATCTGATTCTAAGAAGAAACATGCCAGGAATCTTACAATAGTTAGTCTCTACTCCTTGCTGGTTTATTAACTGAATATTTGCATATTTTTAGAAAGATCTTATTTATTTGAGAGAGACAGATCGCGACAGAGATAGTGAGAGAAAGCACAAGTGGAGAGGAGAGAGAGAAGGGACTCCCCTGATGTGGGGCTCTGTCCCAAGACCTGGAGATCATGACCTGAGCTGAAGGCAGACTCTTGACCAACTGAGCCACCCAGACACCCCTTAATGTTTGTATATTTTATGTTTTTGATTTTAGTTGTTTATATTGTCCTACTTTAGGGGAAAAAAACGTAACAGCAAAACCCCCACTACTTTTAGCTTCCTTTTCCCTCCCTCCTTTGCAAGTATTAGATGTGTAAGCCAGCAATAATAATGGCACATCAACCTAAATGACTACATACTGTTCTGGAGTACTTCATTTTACCTAATTATTACCCTATTATTATTTTGATTATTTCCTGGGCTACCACTATAATAATACTTAGAGGAGCATTAGTGATACACTTTACATTGTAAATTTTTTCCTAAAAATTTTTTTAATTGATCCCCTATAAATTTGATTTTAGTGTATCAGTATATGAAATGAGATTAAAGAGTAAATATTTTTTTATCTCCAGCAGAGAAGAAAATTACATGATGATTCATTCATTCAAAAGAGAGAGCACAAGCTGGGTAGGGGCTGAGGGGTAAGGAGAAGCAGACTCCCCACAGAGCAGAGAGCGCAATGCAGGGCTCAATCCTAGGATCCTAGGATCATGACCGGAGCCAAAGACAGACACTTAACCAACTGATTCACCCAGGCATTTCAAAAATTACATGACTTTTAAGTAACCTTTTATCATAGACATTTTTAACTAAAATTCTTGAAAATATTTATCCATTAAAAATTTTTGAAGTTGATTTGTCACTAACATTGATTTTTAAACTTCTCTCTTACTGTAGATGCCAAGTTCTTGGAGATGGTCTAAATCCTTAAGTTAGTTTTTTAAAATCCTAAGGGAACAAACACATTCTTAGTATCTTCCATTAAATTAAAAGTATAAAAATAAATAGCTTCATTCACTACAGCAATGGCTATGTATTGATTTAAGTTGAAGTATAAAAACTTCTAGGCTGAAGCTAGTTTGGTTTGAGTTTTTGAGGATACTGCAGGATAATGAAATTGCATGTAAAAAAATGTTATATTGGATTTGCTCAACCAAATGGGCTTTTGCCTAATGAGTCCAAAATAACTGGGATCTTACATAAATTATATAAAAATACATAATTTGAGGTTTGACAATAGAGTTGGACTTTGTTAGATATATAGCCAAAGTGTCTCTAGTGTTGAAGGGGGTCAAAAGAATATCTCTTGAAGCTTATTACTGTCTCTTCAAGTCTCTCTCTCTTGAAGATTTTTAGTGACTAAGTGACCACCATGATCTTGTTTGTATTTCCTATATAAATGCAATTGGATGTTAAATCTATAAAGAACATGAGTCGACAAGCACTTAGTCTACAGGTCCTCTGTATACCCCCGCTTGAGTACACAGGAAGCAGGCAGTTTCTGATCTAACTGAAAGAAAGGTCGGGTATCTTATTTATGGACTTAAGTTGGAATACAGCTTCTAGTGTTAGTATAGGGAAAGATATTCATTTCCCTGTGATCCTCAATGCATATATATCTTTTAGATTTTGCATATTATAATGCTTTAAATAATTTGCTCTTGTCGATACCGTAAGGTTTGACTTCTGACAAAGATTATTTTTATTATGTATTTTTTTCCCTTCTTTTTTTAAGGTTTATCTGTCTCTTATAGATAGAGTGCGCTCACAGGAGCTCAAACAGGGAGAGAGGCAGAGAGGGGAAGAGGGAGGGAGAGAGAATCTCAAGCAGACTCCATGCTGAGCATAGAGTCTGACTCGGGGCTCAATCTCACAACTCTGAGATCATGACTTGAGCCAAAATCAGGAGTCAGATTCTTAACTGACTGAGCCACCCAGGTACCCCTATATATTTTTTCTTTTTAAGAGAAATATGTTTGACCATATTCTTGGCTATACTACCTCAAATAATAACTTTCAGCAAGTTATCAGCTTGACTTCTTTTCAGACCCATATTAATCAACAAACTTAGGTCTCTTGAAATCCCTTGATATATTTTTGTTAAATACTTAATAGTTCAACTTGAGTGTTACAAATACATTCTAAGTATCGAGGAAACATTTTCATTTTGTTTCTATCTTGGAAAATAAAAGGATCCTAAAAAGCTCATGGTAGCAAGTAGCTATGGTTATTATCATAGCTGTTCTTTTTCTGAAGTGGAAAAAACTATTTGGCTAAAGTACTTTAATACTGATTTAAGAACATATAGATTTCTTTATCATATTTTCTCAGCCTGAATGGTAATTTTTATTATATTATTTTAGTTTTCTCATTGAATGTGCACTAAATTTTATAATTTGTTTCTTCCCTTTCCCTGTTTCTTCTCTTTTCTTGGCCTTACTATTCCTACAATTTTATTCTTTTACATCAGACAAGGCTTGCAGGCTAAAAATGACAAAATTAAGGTTATTTCAGCTTTCCCTGATACTGACTATGAAGAGCAAGAAAATATATATAAAGAGATAGAGGAGAAAATATCACAAGAGTTTCTAGAAAACAGTAACATAAATTTAAAGGAATCAGAAGCAAAAGAGATTAGAACTCTTTCAAAAACTGGTAAATATTACAGCCAACAAGAACAACTGAAGTGTAAGAATCGGAAAAAGATACCATCTCTGGGTCAAGAAAGTGAATTTTCTACTGCCTTTAATTTTGACCTTGAATTTGAAACCTCTGTATTCTCCAGATATCCTCAGAAATATACAATAGATAGGAGAAGGAAAAACAAACCCTTATACTGTCATTTTGAAGGCAGTGAAAGACGACCATATGATGATAGATCAGGAACTAAGACTAACTTTAAAAGTACATATCCTAACACTGAAAATTGTAATGTTTGCCACATTGAAAAGAAGAAACAAAATTATCCAACTTTACGCCCTTACAAAAATGGTTTTGTGGTTGAGAGTGGCATGTGGACTACTAAGTTGGAAAATCATAATTATGATCTTTCTGGTTGTTTTAAGAACTATGAAAAGTCATCTGGCTTAAACCAATATGTCACTAATTTCACTCCATTAGATATTCTTGAAGATTCTGCCAGTAGTACTTCTGATGAACTTCTGAGTTCTCCTCTTACTGATAAACAGGAAGGTTTATTGTCACCAACAAATCATCCATCCGATGTCCATCATGTTGGAGGCTTTCCTGAAGAATATCATGTAACAAATCCAGTATTCCCATTACCAAAGTTAAAGTGTGATGCAAACACACTTGGAGATCAGTCTGGGTGCCCTATGGAAGAGATGACCCCTTCCTCTCTTGAGGAACCCAAGAAGGGCTACGTTGATACAATGGATGAGCTTCAGTGTTTGGTAGAAACAGTGTCAGAATATTTAGCAGAGAAGGAAGAAGAGATTAATCGATTTGGCTCCCTTCCAAAAACTAAAAAATCACTTAAACACAATAGTACTGTTGATAACGCAGAGCACAAAATGCCTGAGGATCAAAAAGCACCTTCACCCATTGTCAAGAATGACAAAGACAAGGCTATATGTCTGAATGGAGTGAAATGTGCTGTTGGTTCTCTGTTCAGTTCACTCACAGAAAAAATGGGTTCAGGCACAAAGCAGCTAACGACCTCTGTGGAAAAGCTGGTTTATTTAGTTCCAGAGAAAACAGAAACTCTTAATCAAGTAGAGACGATTAATTCAGGATCTAAACCCAGAGCCAAGTCAGTACTGGGGAAGGATATTTCCATACAATCTCCATTATCCTCTCAAGCAGTTGATAATGAGGATTTTGGCAGAAGTCACAAAACCTCTGAAAATGAGCACACAGGTAGTAAAACTGGAAATTTAAGCTTTCAGGATGC